CAGCCAAAATGAAGTATGTAGTCCAAATTCTAACTTTGGTTGTTTGAGAAAAATCACCCTAATCATTGAGACTAAGACTCTATGGTATCTGGCAGGGAGGTTTTTATAATTTGAAATTTAGGATTTTATAAAATGACATTTTGGTTTTTGTTAGTTTTTTTATTTTTGTTTTTCAAGACAAGGTTTCTCTGTGTAACCCTGGCTGTCCTGAAACTCACTCTGAAGATCAGGCTGACCTCGAACTCACAGAGATCCGCCTGCCTCTGCCTCCCAGGTGCTGGGATTAAAGGCATGCACCACCACTACCTGGCAGCAAATAACAGTTTGATAAATTACGTCTATTGTCCTTGAAAATACTAAAGATGCTTCCATCCCTTAAACCACAATTGATGGGCAGAATGGGTAGGTAGATGGTTAGCTGTTGTTTTCTCCAGTCGGCAAGGAGCCCTCTCTTGTTTCTTCCTAGGACCCTAAAGCAGCTCATATTGCCAATTGCTGCTGAATTTTATTTTGTTCTGAGACAGGGTCTCCCAGGCTGGCCTTCTGCTTCCTATGTAGCTGGCGATGACCTTAACTTCTGATGATCCTACCTCCACCCCCTGCGTGCATAGATGACTGTCAGCACGCCTGTTCACGTCGTGCTGGGGATCAAGCACTAGGACTTCCCTGCTGCTGCTTAGGCAAGTAGTCCGTCAACTCGGGCTCCATCCTCAACCCATGAAGTTGATTTTTAACAGGATAGCTGGAGATTTGTTTTCTCTAAACAGGCTCCATCACAGAGGCCCGGGAGGCTGGTCATCTGGAACTCTGGAGTAAAGTCAATTTTTATAGTACAGTTACAGTAAGTTTGTTCATCCAAAGTGGCTATTTGTAAATGTTTCAGCATGATCTATAGCAATGCTGTCAAGTGAGTTGAATCAACTTCATGTTGTATTTCATGTCAACACTTAATCATTACTGATTGGAACCATTTGCTTTCTCAAGCCCAACCTAAAAAAATCTCTCTTATAGATTGGGGTTTTTTTTTTGTAAGTCCAAGCCATCTACCATCACTTTTAATTAAAATAATTTGCTATTATTTTCTTCTTTAAGAACATTTTTTGAGATACTGAAAATTAAACTAAGGAAGCTTCGTTAGGGTCTCTGCTTAAGAAATATTTTATGAGTAAAGAATTTTTTGGTTGAGATATTTGAACTGTTAAAAAATATCATACATTTTTTAACTTGGTTCTCAGGACCAGCAGGTGTCCTCTGACCATAGTGCTCACACACTTGTATGTGGGTCTGCACACACATGTACTCACAAGCACCATTTGTACACCGTGGCTGCTAGGTTGACTAATATACTAGTATCCACAGGATTTCTGGAAATTTCCTGATTTTCTTGAATTGATGACTAATGCTTGGACTGCCAGTGTCCTTCCCTGAGTTCCTGCAGATGTGTTCTAACTAACATTCTTCTCTCAGACACATCTACTCATCAGAGAACCTTTCAGTTCCAGTGTCTAGGTGAATCCCTTGGTGGTTCTGCCTCTCTCAGAACTGAGGCTCACAGGCAAATGTTCTGTTGGTGCTCCCCCTCCACCTCCTTTCTTCCCCCTTTCATCTAATTGAGCCCTGCTGTGGCTGCTCTATGATTGGGGAAAGCTATATCCCACACAGTGGGGACAAAATGGGCTGATACAGCCTAACTGGAGCCCATCATCTCCTGTGGGTGGAAAGGTGAGTAGGGCCAAATTCAGTTTTTCTGTTTGGTTTGTTTCTCTGGGTAAATGTCCCCAGAAAGACTGCCTGTCCCCTGCTAAGGATGCTGTTCCTGTGTCCTTCACCCTCTTCTCGCTTCAGGAAAGGAGTTACTCCTTTGAACTGTTCTCTACCTCCAGTTCCCTGTCCCCACATTCCCTAGCTTTTGGAACTCTGAAAAAAATGATTTAAATGTTCTTGTCACCTACCTTCTCCAGACACTTGTTTCTGCCCTCCTCAGTCAGCCACCATTCATCTGGCTACTCTGCATTTTCCAGAGTTTGGTTATGCTGTCTCTTCTGTGCACTCTTTCTCCCCTCCAGTTCCTGATGGAACTAAGTCTGCCTACTTTGTTGTACCAGTCATATTTCAGCTGCGTCCTCTCCATAATGCATAGCGGTCATTTGCATTTGCATTTAATAACAGCACCACTCTCTGGCTTCCCCGGCCGCAGCCAAACTGCCTCACACTTCCAACGTGAATTTTTGAAATCTATACAAGAAGAGACTTGGAGGGGATGGAGGAGTGACTCAGTGGTTAAGAGCACTGCCTGCTCTTCCAGAGGACTGAGGTTTGATTCCCAGCACCACATGGCAGCTCACAACCATCCATAATTGTAGTTCCATGGGATCCAGTGGCCTCTTCAGGTGTACAGATATACATGTGCACAAAATGCCCGTATGTGTGGATGGATGGATAGATAGATAGATAGACAGACAGATAGCTAGATAGATCTTTATTTTTTTTAAACAATTCCTGTCTTTTTTTTAAAAAGATTTATTTATTAATTATGTATACAGGGTTCTTCCTGCACATATCCCTGCAGGCCAGAAGAGGGCACCGGATCTCATTACAGATGGTTGTGAGCCACCATGTGGTTGCTGGGAATTGAACTCAGAACCTCTGGAAAAATAATCAGTGCTCTTAACCTCTGAGCCATCTCTCCAGCCCCTAGAAAGATCTTTTAAAAGAAGAAGAGACTTGGTACCCAGAGTTGTTGAGTGAATTGCATAGCCCTCCATGATGGGACATTATCTAGGTATATCTAAAAATAAAGCAAGAAAATGGCTTCTCCATTAAGTTCATCAACAAAGTTTGGACTTTATGAGTGATGACCAGATATCAACACTGTCATTTCTGTTATCTAAAGTGTCTAATATCAAATCTTGAGCTTTTGTTGGGGTGGATCCTGGAGATAATTTCCCCCACAAGATTTATATACAAATAATATTTGATCACTTGCATACAACCCCACTCCTTGTTGCATTTAATTTTTCAGTTATTTTTGTCTTACTCAGTATTTTCTAAGAAATTGTGGGGTTGGGTTATGTGATTTCACAAGCCTACCTGGAATCCTGAAACACAGAATTCTCACATTTTGAATATTGTACTAAACTAAAGAAAGGGATTTGCCTATAGAATGGGATAAAGCCCAAAGTTTTTCCTGTATCTCTGGTTCTATGATTCTAATGAAATCAAAACAGCATTTTTTTGCTCCCTGTGTGCAATACTTATTCCCTATCTATTTCCTTAACAAAAATCATACTGCAACTGCCCTACAATCTTATTTTCTTAACATTTAGAAAGGAGTAAAGTCAGAGAGCACGAATTCCTCCACAAAGCTGTTTAGGTTCAGCTGACATTTTAGTGTGGGTTGAATTTGAACTTGAGTGCCGCACACATTTCTGCGGCTGACTCCTGGCCTCTCACTGGTGTACCGCTTTTCCCACCACAGGAGTCTACCAGGCCACATGTTGACATGAATGATGTTGAAACTGCATTTTATCTCCTGGGCTGAGTCTATGAGGTCATGGAGACCCACAGTATTGATAGCCTATCTCTAAAGGATAGATAGCCCAGGACAGCTGAGAGCAGTGGGGGAACACTGTAATGTGAATGCTTTTAACCCAGTTATTGAACTTATTAAGATCTTTCTGTCCTCCCCTCCCCTCTCCTCCCCTCACCACTCCCCTCCCCTCCCCTCCCCTCCCCTCTCCTCGCCTCTCTTATCCTCTCCCCTTATCTTCCTTCCCTCCAGTGTCACTTGGACAGTAAAAGTTAGGAAAACAAAAAAGGGAGTTAAATGACAAAATGTCTGTGACCACAGGGATCTAATTGAAAATGTGGTATTTTCCTTGAGCAAGGTTCCTATGAACAGTGCTATTTCCCTATTCTTGATGGAGACATACTTTCCCATGGTGTCCTCCACTCTTATTTATTGTCCTGAACTCAGCACCCTCATAGCTCTTCTCCTGTCTTGTAGACATGCTCTCTGACTCTCAGGTCCTATGTTTTTTGTTTCTGCCTTATGCTGAGCCATCACCCACACTCCTCCCCACTACTTTTCCAGAGCACCATCCCACCCAGCCCAGCAGCACACATGTGCTTCATGCCCCCTTCATACAGCTTCTGCCACTGGAAATCAGGTCTTTATGCTTGTACGGCATGCACTTCACCAACTGACTCATTGCCCCAGCCCTCGCTTCATTTTTTTTTATTTATAAAATCATGGGATGTTTATGGAAGATTCTAGAGGACAATGAATTAAAAACATTTCTAACACACAGCATTTCATATAAAAGCAGCATAGTGTTCAAATATTAGTTTCACTGAGATACTGAATTAGTTTTGTCAACTTAACAGGATATGAAATCACCTAGGAGACAAACTTTAGGCACACTTATGAGGATTATCCTATTTAGATAAGTCTCTGTCCTTGCCTGTGTGAGATGTTCTTTATTGGGTTCATTGAGTGATCAAACCCATTCTAACCTAGGGCAGCATTATGCCCTAAGCTTGAATCCTATACCACATAAAAAGGAGAATCAAGCTAAGATCATGCATTTGGCATTCGTCCTGCTCCCTGACTTTGGGTGCAGTGTGACCACTACCTAAGCTCTGCTACCATGATTTCCCTGCCATGAAGGATTGTGCCCTTGAATTGTCAGCCTCGGTAACCTGTTGCTTCTGGTGGGTATCTTAGCTCAGCAGCAGACGCTGGGTACTGACCCCCATTTCCAAACATAGTGAGGTGGTTTTTTAATATGTGTTTGTTAATGACTACGGCAACAGGTAGGTAGCATGAAGCTTCCCAAAGCACCCTAGTATTTGGGTGACTGGGTTTCAGGCCTGCAATGTTCATCTTTGCTAGGCTTCAGGGGACTTTGTTTTTGTTCTAATCGAAGTGACTTTGACCTGTCCCCCAACAGTCAAATCAACCTGTGACTAATATTTCCTGTGTGTTATGTCCCTTGTAGGTGCTGTGGTCTTTAGAATTGGGTCACTGGATTTCTGAGGAGCCCTTTGAACTCTCTCAGTCCTTCCCTGCAGCTCCGGTGAGTCAGCACTGTGCAGTGGTGCGGTGGTGGGAGGTGCAGTGTGGTGATCTTAGGAAACGCTCAGACTAAAAGGGTGTCGCTCTAGAAATGAATGCCTTCTGCTCATTGGTTTGTGAGCTCATGTGTGAGCACTTGAGGAAGGGCACTTGTAAAGCGCCGTGAGAAACGTCACCGTCACCGTTCACTTGAGCTGGCAGTCCAGATTCACGAAACTGAACTGGGGGAGGAGGGATAGGAGGGGTTGCTGCAAGTGCATTGCTAACCTGGGTTATAAGGGAAGACCTTCTTCCAAAAAAAAAGAAAAAAATAATAATTTAATTATGAAAGCCTGTTGGACTCTAGAAAGCAAATTTTAAAAATAAAAGACAACTCTTAAAACTAATGCTAGTACAGATAAAATTGACAGGTATAAAAATCGTGGTCTGCCAGCATTGTGATGTGGTCTTAGTCTGAGGTTTCTCCAAAATTTCACCTTTATGTACTCTTAAGTATTCTAAATATTTGCCAATTAAATTCTGACTTCTCTGATAATTAAGGTTTGACTGGAAACAGGGTTATACAGAAGTTGGCTTTTGTTCCCAAACATGTTGTCTGGTTTATTGTTTGGAGAGATGAGTCTCTGAAAGGCAGCGGCCGTTCTGGCCGTCCCCGGTGCTCTTACGTAGCTGGGCCCTGTGCTGGGGCCCAGCAGGAAGCTGAACTCTGCCCCCATCGCTCAGTCATCTAGCTCGCTGCATTGTTTTGTTTTCATTTTTGAGATTACTGTTTTGATTTCCTTTCAACTTTGCAAATGTTTTCTTAAGAACAGAAAAAAATATTCTTCCCAGTAAGTTTGTTTGTTTAAAATACTGTGTAGGGAGCCGAACTATCAAGTGGAAGCCAGAATTCCTCCCACCCTCCAACCTGAGAGCGTGTATATAATTCCGAGTCGCACAGGAGGTTTGCCTATGGAATTCTTCCTCCTGCCTTCATGAGAGGTTGATGTAAATGAGGAGTGCTCTTTCTGGTTTTACCTCCTCACTTCCTGTCAGTGTGGTCCTTCAAGAACCTGACTGCTGTCTGAAGCTGTGGGATGTTGCTCTGGTGTCAGATGTTTTCACTGGGTACAGAGCCATGTTGGCCCCGGCAGTGTTCCCTAAATGTAATAATAGAAACAGCGGTCAGAAAGCAGGGAATAGTTCTTTACTTTGGAGTTAGTTGGTAGAAAATGAAGCATGGCAGAAGAGAGGGTGCCTTGGCCACCCGAGTCTGTGGATTGACTAGAGCACAGAGCAGTGTGTGAGGGTTTCTATCACCAAGGCTGCCTGAAAGATAATGGCTAGAGCAGTGTTTCTCAACCTGTGGGTCACAACCCCTTGGGGGTTAGTTTATCAGATATCCTGCATATCAAATACTTGCATTAGGATTCATAACCGTAGCAACAGTTACAAAGTAGCAATGAAATAATTTTAGGTTGTGGGGGTCAGCAAAATATAAGGAACTGTATTAAAGGACCACAGGATTAGGAAGTTTGAGAACCATGGGGTTAGAGAAATGTAAAAAACAAAACAAAACCAAATCTGGACACAGAGAAGGGCAGAGGGACAGGTAAGGAAGGTACCTGAGAAATTGCATCTACTCGCTTTGTGCAGGTGCTCGTTGATAGAGACAGGACTCTGAAAGCTTCTGAGAAGTTAGGACAGAAGGAATTAGGGTTTAACAGTTCCTAGCATCAAGTTGTGTTCTGAAACTTTTTTAGAAGCCTCTGGTGAAACTATGAGCAGGACAGTTTGATTTTGCATTCTCAAACACTTCTTCAGTTTTGTCTCAAGGGGGATGGTTTCCCTCAACCACAAAAATCAAGACTTAGTTTCATTTTCTAAAACATGTCTTCTTAAACTAGGGAGCAGATCTGTGGGATAGAATATACTAACTCAGCAGTGAGGCCTCTTCATCATGAAACGGTGTGTGTATGTGACACCAAAGAACAGAATTGTAAATGTTATCATACAAATTAAACATAATCACCTTAACTAATAAGTTATATTTAATTACTAAAAATACCTTCTTATTTATCAGCCAGGCAGAAAACAAAGTAGTACAGTTTCCACATACACCATCGTGGCACCCGCTTGGTGGTAATTCCAGAGAGGTGGGTATTTTCACCATGTAGGAAGTAATATCCAGCCATTAAAAACTAAGCCTTCGAAGATGGGTAAATGTGTTGTTTTCAAATGAAAATGTAAGGCACTTAAGAGGAAAACAGTGCACTGTACTTCTCCAGATATTCACCTGTAACCAGCACTTAGAGAATCTCTGGGTACTCGCTGCCGTGGTGAGGGCTACAGTCTGTCACCGTGACGGCTGTGCTGCGTATTCCTACAATCCGTATACCGTGCTCAGAGGATGGTGATTCCAAGATTATCTCCTCGAAGTTCTGTTTTCCAGTTATTAACTGATGAACTCTCACATAGCGTCCTTCCTTGAGGCAGTCTGCATGCTGTCCCTCTGGTTGTCAGCCTCCACACCACCTTCCCCGGGTGTTTCTCTGGACCACAGTGCCTTTGGGTTGCCTCGAGTTGGTTACTGGTGCAGGCTTAAGTGTTGTGCTTCAGTCTGGCACACAGAGATCCTCCCCACCCCCGGAAGCACCTCCTGATGGGGAAAGGAACTGCTGTGCATTGGTGTCTCTCAGTGCTTTGGGTTAATCTTTGGACACAGTACACTCTCTGGTACTATAGGAGGCATTTAGAAATCTGCCGGCCGAATCATCATGGTTGTGGCCTTGAGTGAGTAGCCGGACCCCTTCCAGTAGTACCACTTGATACCGTTGAACTTATTTGTGCTCTGCTTCTGTGGATAGTACTGTCCGTTCAAGTTGGAAGGACCACATGCATCAAACCACCATCCTGTGGAAGTGAAACAGAAGGAGTTAGGAGTGGTGGTGGCACCTGTGCCGGCCCGGGGAGGAGGGCTCAGGCGTGCTCATCAGTTTTCAGCTTCAAAGAAGGTGCATTCACACCTGTGCAGTCACACTTTCATTGTTGCATGTATCCTTCCACACTTTCTAGCTCCTTTTGTGCAGAAGCCTTGCAGCATGGAGAAATGTTGGTCAGTGCTGTGTGAAAAACCTGTCTGTCATCCATGTCTACATTGGTGGGGTGAAGACATGGTGAAATTGGAGGTATATGTGTAGAAGAGTCTTAACAGCAGGATGGACCAGATGATTCCCACTCCCCTCCATCAAATTGTTTTGGTTGGATTAGAAGCCAAGTGCCTAGTGCTCCATGGAGCTAGGGAAAAAGAAACTTTAAGGCTATAAGGTGGAGTGCTAAGGGAGGGTCAGGCCCCACAAATTGGAGCACAGTTGGTGATAGGATTTGCCATATGAAGAAGTAACGTGGGTGATGCGAATCTGAAATTCATCTCTAAGCCTCAAGTGGGAAAGACACCAATTACATGAGATTACGTCATAGTATTCATGTTTGTCTTTAAATACAGAAAACAATGACAAGAGTTGATAGTAAAGAATGTAGATGAAATACCAACTAAGAGGCTACCTCAGGGCAAGTGGGACAAAGTAGGGCAGCTTCTCTTAAAAAGGTTTTTTTTTTTCCCTATGGAGTGCAACTGTTTCCGTGGACACTGCTGGCTGGAGACAGTCCTAGCTGGTGATTCTGATAAATGGAGGTCTATAAGAAGATTCTGTGTTGTACAAAACCCTTGGAAGGCGGAGAAGTATCAGTAACAGATCTGCCTTAACCTTCAGACACCATCCATGCCCCTATCCTGCAGATATCTCCTCCACGGGCCAGCTTCCCCATGGGCCCGACCATGGCTTGGAAAGTGGCCTCTTTCAGCCTAGACCTCCCATTTTCCTTCCCTGGCTGCTTGCCTCCTCCCCAGTTCCATTCTCAGCCCCTAAATCTTGAACTAGGTAAATAAATAGATTGTGTCCTTGGTTATGAAGCAGTTCTCCTGCTCTCTGGAGTAGCAGCACATGGGTGGTCTGGAAACAGCCAGCCTCTCCAGAGAGGTCTCAGTGTGGGAATGGCAGCAGGACTTGGGATTAAGTGTGTCGCAGCCCCAGAACCCACCGCCCTTGCCATTGATTTTAAAGAGGATTGTTGCAGCGAGGTGAGAGCATCTAGCCCCTTCCGAATCAGTTCAGTAGCATTCTTTCCTTTAAATAATTACAACCAATGGGGACAATTCATGCCACCAAGTGGCCGCTCTGTTCTCCCAAGAACTCCAGGGTCCTAGTTCTTCCGTGGAATTTCAAGCTCTGGATTTCATTTTATTTTTGCAAATAAATCTTCTTGTTACTGTTGACAGAAGGATTCTTGACTGACGAGTACATGTGAGTCAAGCTTAGATCTTTTTCTTATCTTAGCAGCAACCTACCTTTTTAATTTTTAATTAAATTTTATTTATTTATGGTGGGGTCATTCCGCAGCATTGCTGTGGTGATCAGGAAATGACTTGGGAGAAGCAGCTCTCACCTTCCACCACGAGGGACCCAGGGATCAAACTCAGGTTGTCAGTTGACAGCAAGCACCTTATGGGCTGAGCCATCTCCCAGACCTGAGCTAGAGTTTCTTACCAAACTGAAACTCATGAATTCAAGCCCAGCACTAGGATTGCAGGAGCACACCATACACTCCGCTTTTCCCAGGGATCCTGGAGATCTGAGCACAGTCTTTGTGTTTGTGTGTCGGGTCCTTACCCACTGAGCCGTCTCCCCTGCCCACTCTCTGTTGTAATCATGACAAGAAAGAGACAGCTGAGACGTCCTTGACCGGATGTTCAATTAAACAGAAATGAAGTGAGATGGAGCTAAATCATCCCCCTTTCATCTGGTCAATGAGCACAGCCTCTGGAGAGCTTGCTGGATATCGCATATCCACTTAATTTCCCCGGGCTCACTCCAGAGATTCCTGAGAACACACTGTTGGCCTAGTGACAGTTCCAGCTCCTTGTCATGGTCTCACTTCACACATGGGCCAAAAGGAGAAAAA